CTCTTCATCCCTCTTCCCCATCCGAAAAGTTGAGTTGATTTAAAAACTAGCCTCTGATGATTATAATTATCCAATTAAGGACTTTAAGGGCTTTTCTTTGGGTATGTCTCACCCCAAACAGCATCTGCTGCACTTCAAAGAACAGTGAGTAGCATATGTAAAACAGCAGAATTGGGAAATCAGCTTTGTGGGAATTAAGCTTTTTCAGATGAGAGAATTGGTAAAACTTCTGTGTTTTTGTATGTAGGTACTTCTAGTTCATCAACAGATGAAGACATGGAAGTAGATGCAGTCAATGAAATTTTAGAGGATATTCCAGAACATGAAGAAGATTATCTGGATTTAACTCTGGAAGAGGAAGGATCTATCATTGCCAAATACTTATCTTACATCCAAATACCACAGCCATAGGATTCATTACCCGCAGTTCAGTTATAGATGTGCTTTGGCAACATAACAGACATACATTCTTAAGTTTCAGATGTTAAATTCATCCTTAGCTTATTTTTGCCAAAGCCTTAAATACAATTAAATGAAAAGTGATCTTCTTTTAAATTATCGCTAATCTATAAAAATGCATTTTTTTCATTTGTTATAATATATTGTCAAAGAGCAGCATAATGGAAACGTATTTTCAAAAAAAGTTTAATAGAAGCTTAATATATATTTCTATAGGTGTGCAATTAGTTCCTTTACTTTATACAGAAAAGAAATATTTTTCACCATTTTGCAACACCAGCTTTTAAAAAAAACCCAAGTTTGCGAATTGGAAACCAAGTGCATACCTTTTATAGAGCTGGCCATTTCACCTTTTTCTCCTTAAAATACTGTTTCCCAAACATCATTCATGAATTAGTTCTGCATGGATTTGATGCCTTTCCTTGTCATTCCTCATGTCAGACATTGCATAAGCAACCAATAAAAATTTGTTCCATTGCTTATATTGGGATTTTTCTGTACCTTTTTTTAAAAACATAGTTGGAGGCAGTTGGTAGGATCTTGGCCCCATTTTGACTAGATTGACTCAAACACATTGAATAGTTACAGGGCATGAAAGAGGGACACATTTTTCAATTAATAAATCAAATTCACAATCACTCAAGTGCTCAAGGTGGCACTGGGCTGTTCAGGGAGGAAGGCAGGTGAGTCCAATCCGCTTTTTCACTTAACAAATGATTACTTTTGGTACTAAGCTAAGAAGGAACAGAGCACGGGGAAGGTCACCCCACTCTGTGGTTTGCTGCCAGCAATTCTCTGCAGAGCACTCTGATGCAGTTAGCCGCCGTCCTGAGCTTTGATGCCCTCCAGACACAAATGCTAAAAGAAGGTCCATTTCTGGCAGGCATTTCTGTTTGGCAGCAAGAAAACTATGGGAAGATATTTTCAGTAACTTTATCCTCTCAATAGAGGGAGCTCAAATCCTGTCTGCTGGGTCCCTGGTTTGTCTGAATGGCACTGTTTTTATGAAGAACATAATGGACAGGGGTGGGGGGGATCATGAGGGCAGTGGCTGGTGTCACTAGTATTCCTTTCTATTTAAGCCCAGATCATGTTGCTCCAAAACTCGCCTTAGGAAAGTATTTACACTCCATTCAGAGGCCTGCTTTTAACTGGAACAAACTGAATCCTTATACCCTGCAATTCCACTGGACTCACTGGCTCTAGAGAAGGAACACAGCACCATCTTAAGGCAAGTAAGATGGAGATATCAGCAGGCCATAAGTGTGACAACCGTCAAGTTGCAGAATAAGGGGTATTGATGTAGTTAATACATCATTTCTAACAAACTTGGATCACCTCGTAGGCCACATAGCAGGGTATTGTGCATGGGCTTGATACTTTGATATCATTCTTTGTGCACAGCCAGAAAACAAACACTGCAAGAGTAAAATATATTTTCTTGCATACAACACACCCTGGAATAAAGTAGGCACCTTGTTTCTGAAAGGCAGAATAAAGAAATCATTCCTTACAATAACTGAGTAGCAGCAGCAGCCAGAGAGTTGAGTCTGTTCATTGTTCTGCGCCCTGTGTCTACAGATTTTACTTCTGTTTTTGCCTAGTAAATGGCAGAAGCTGCTTTTTACTGTATTTCTCACATATAATCTGCACTACAATTTCCCGCAGCTGCTATTTTGGAAAAGGTGCATATTGTGCGTGAGAAAATATGGCACACTGGATTTGACTGTCAAGAATGCAGCTCACATCTCAAAAGTCAGCCAGGTTCTGGCCAAAATGAAACCAATATACAGAAAAGGTCAACCCAATCCTTAAGCTGGAAACAAGCAGATAACAGATAATATCCTTGTTCTATACAGCTGCTCTGGGAGGACAAGGAAGAAGTTTGAACTTACAGGATTTCAGGGCTCAGCTCTGTGAGGTACCCAGCACCCTCAGTTCTTATTGAAACCAATGGGAGCTGAGGGTTCTCATTACTTGAAAGGTTAATACCAATTTAGCATTGGATACAGAATGTAACATCCTTTCCTGAGAGAGGTACTGAGAAGTAGGAGATATGGTTTATCAGCTAAAGTAAAGCAGAATCAATAGAGTGGGAAAAACTAACCAGGCAGTTATGAGTGTGCATTGCAGTTGTGATTGAACTAGGTTCTTCCCCTGCTGCTTGTGCTTTCCTTAAGGATTAAAGCTTTGCTAATGCAGCTGTAAAATAATGATAATAATGCACTTTAAACCTGAATGCTTGTTATGTGGGAATTCAAAAATCGATTATTTTATGTCAGTTTGTTGTCAAGTGAACAACAATTCCTCCAATTATATAACTAATCAAAACAAGCCTGTGTGGCAAATTGTGAATATCTATAATTAAAGTGAGCAGCAGAGCAAGAATACTGTCTGGAAAAAAATTGGGGGGGGTCATTTCAGCTGCACATTTAAGGATATTTGAGTTGATGAAAAACAGGAAAGCAGCACTATTTAAGTGACTCATTCATCTACTTCTGATGAGAGTGATTTTCATCTCGGGCATGTACAGCTGCTATGGACCAAGCTGCATCTAGCCAAGGTAACATGCAAGGCATTTAGGTTAAAACTTTGAGCATCAGTGTAAGAACACCCTGATCTTCAGAAGAATCAGCCTTCTCTGATCACGAGACACCTATTGTATTATCTAGCATACAATACTCACCTTTGCCCAAAAAAATCAGCCTCCCAAAATTGTGGTATGTGTATGAAGTGGGGAAGCAGTTTTTTCCCCAGTAAAGAAGCATGCTTTGAGACACTGTGCTTGCCATGCAGCTACCCAGATGGCTGCCGCTTGTCTCACTCAGCTGAAGAGGCAGCATCCTGTGTTAACCATAGGACTCATAGGAAATCATAGAAATTAAGGGCTGGGAGGGACCTCGAAAGATCATCAGATCCAACCCCCCTGCTTGGGGCAAGGAAACTGCTGAGATCAAATGATCCCAGCTATTGGCTGAGCACTGTAGCTTGTGCCTGAAGCAGCAAGTGAGGCACTGGTAGTAGCTTGATGAGCTTCGTGATGTGGAAACAAGTTTATTTATAGGAATTTATAAAGCACTACTTATAGTACAGTACTAACAGCCTTGCTACTGCCCTTGCAAGGGTCTGGGACATAGAGCAAGTCCTGCTGAAAACAGAGGGTCCAAGAAATGTGGCATCCCAAAAGATGGTTTATCACAGCAGGAAGTTCTGCTGTCTGCTGCCTCAGCAGACTGTCTCCTGGAAAACTACACTTCTTGGACACTATGTTCCCAGGAGGACTTGTTTTATGTCAGATTCCAGCCATGATTCTGGGGGGAAGAAAACCCCAAAACTTCATTTTCCCCCCAAATATTCTTCCTTCCAGAAACAACATGTGTGTTCAGAGATGTTGTAGGCAAGAAAATATGGTACTAATTATTCAGCTGATCTCCCAGTATTCAACACTGAGCTTACAGGCCATAATTGGATAAAAACTAACTGTTCCTTCAACAGGAGAGAACCACTGTGGTGTAAATACTTCCTACAGGACCAGTTGGTAGCTCTATGATGCCAAGACAGAGATTTACAGTGGAAGAAGTGTTGGTCCTACTTTTCTAAGTAGGAATTTAACATACAAACTCCTGTCCCAGCCAACAGAGTTACAGTATTTCCATCCACTGGAGGTAAGGAGTTACAGATAGGAGTCAGCAAAGCCTTTCACAGCAGGACCAAGTATAACAAGGTCTCCAAGATATGCTGGGTCTCATTGCACAATGATGAACTTTCCCTATTCTGTAGCTAAGCACAAGGGCTTTGGCAGCCTGCTCAAATATATTTGACTACAGCAGCCATTAAATTGCATAATCATGTACTTTCTCTTCTTCCAGATCCATAGTACAGATCCTCTTCTGGAGGAATAATTGATAACAGTAACAGGCTGTTGTCTTTCCTGTGAATTACCCATTCTGACACTGGCTGTGGCAGTGTTTATTCAACCTTTGCTGGACAGCGGGTGGTGGTTTTTGCTGGACGGGGGCGTGGGTTACAGGTGGGAGGCAAGTACGTACATTAAAAGCAATGTAGCTGTGTAACTATAATTCCGACCTGTCATCAATTCTGATTACCAGCTTTTCAGAAGTTGTTACCTTAGCTGGACAAAGGGAAGAAATACTTCCCTGCCTTGTAGGAAGTAAAATAATGCCTTACTCAGTAATATGCAGTTTGAAGTACACAGAAACATTCAGGCAGAGCAGCAGTGAGTGGGAGGAGTGAAGCCTTAATATCCTGGCTCCCAGCACAGCAAACCTTTCCTCTAGGCTGTATTGCACATTAGTTGCTCAAACTCCCTCCCCTCTCAGCTGATTGAAGAATCTGGATTTTGGCAGCCAAATTGCTATAGGAAGCAGGAGATCTCCTGAGATTGACTCAAGTCCAGACCATCTGAGGAGGGAAACAGTCTCAACATTTACATTCATGTGTTTCCTCTTCCTGCCCCCGTCCTTTTCTGACTGCTACGTGCCACAAACCTGACAAGTAAGGAATCACCAACTAAAGATTTGGTTATCTGTAGATGCCATGTGTTTATTACTCAATCATAAAAAAGTATTACAGCATTTTAATCTTGCCACAGGACGGAATAAATAAAGCCACAAAAATAAAACACACGCATAACTAGTCATTTCACTGATTCTAGAGAGTGTGTTGTATCTGCAACAATAAGGACACTTGTATATTCATGGCTCAGTGGTTATCAGGAAGAACAAATCTGGAAAAGCCTGAGAGAAGCACCCCTAGGTAAGTGCTTAGCCAAGCCTAAAGACACTACTGGTCCTAGGATACTGCCCAGGGGTATCCACATAGGAACAACTTATCACAGCGTAGAAAAGAGCAGGGCTTCAGCTACTCTGCAGTAACTGCTCACAAGCAAGTGCTTACCCTGTGGTGTGTGGAAGCAAAGCCCCTGCAGTTTTGCCTTGGATGAAAGGGGGGTAAGTTACCACGGTTTAACTTCCCTTTATCACGGTGTAAGAACATGGTGCATGTGGATGCCTACTACAACTCAGCTGATGTGCAATAAATCCCTGCCCATTTTTGCTCCATGGTAAATTACTCATATGCCTGCACCCTGATTCCCATTCCTGCAGCCCGAGTCCTGGCACATGCAGCACTTCTGAGAGATGCAAGGGCTTTGGAAGGAGATAGTGACCCAGGCCTAACAGAGAAGACAGATGTGGTCCCATGCACACGTGCTGGTGGGCTGCATTTGCTCAGATCCCCACTATTTCACACTGGGAACAAAGTCTTGCCATGAAAACTCTCTTTTCACCTCCCACAAAGCAGGGACAAGGCCCCCCATGGAAGCCACATGTTGCTCTGCACCCCTCCAGAGCTGTGTGTGGAGTTGGGGAGATGCTAGTAGCACACCACTCCTCCTAGCACTGCAGAAAGTGGAGGCCCCTGCTGCTGCCCTGTGAAGGGTGTTGGGATGCTTAAAAGTAGCAGCCCAGTTGAATCTCTTGGCTTGCTGGGAACGGGGTAGTTTTCCGTGCTTCTGAAGATGTTCAGGTCTGATTCAAGATTAGGCCTTAGATGCCAGTTAGTGGCTGGCTGGCTGCTTTTTAAAAGCCCCCTTCTCAGTTCTTCAAGTTAAAGCCCCTGAGAGGGATGAATGCTGCTCTGGGCCTCAGCCACGCTATCTTTGCCTGAGTCACAGCAGGGTGAATCCCAAAGCTAGCTGAGAAAATTAAATTCAGAGCTGTCTGCAAGGCAGCTTTCACTTAGACATTCGGCTGAACAGTGGCACGGGAGAACAAGCAGCCGAGACAGGAGGAGAAAATCTATCCGCTCACTGCCTTGCAGCATCTCTCTTAACACGCAGCAATGTCAGGCTGCAGTGGGGTGGAACTGGAATTGAAAGCAGGCAAATACAAGTCATAATCACACTCAAAATATGGGGGAAGGTGGATAACCTGGGCCCTGCTCAGCAATGGCTCCCAACCCCAATGCTTGCCCCAGGGCCGGCCAGTCATTCAGGCTGTTTTAGTTTGCGCTGAGATACAGAGAGGTGCTGCGAGTCATCAGTAAGAGGCAGCCTGAGCGGAGTCTGCTTCACAGTCACAAAAGCTGAGCTCCTGCCCGACCACAGCAAGCGAGTTCATCTCCCAGCCCTACCCCCTTTCCAAGCTCTGGCTCATCTGCACCCAGTGGCATAGGAAAGAAATACGTCAGCTTTGGTCACGGCCAGACAGGCAGTCACACCAGCTCAATGGCCTCGCACTCTCCATTCTCCTGCTGCACCATGCAGCCAACTTTGTTGTTGAAGAGGCGCGACAGACTGCCCTTCTGGGAACTCCTGACCTGGACAGACCTCTCCTTCTTCAGCCGCCTCTTGTTCCGCTTGCAGATTCCTCGTATGTCCCAGATCCTTAGCGTGCCATCGTGGGAAGCTGTGTATAATAATTCATTGTGAATCTGGAACAATAGGGTCACACTTAATCCCAAACTGGACATCTCAGCAGCACCACAACAACACAGCAGCTTGGGATCAAATAGCAGAGTTAGTCCTTCATGGTAAAGCCCGATTCCCCACTGTCTGGCTCCTTTTGTCACCATTCACACCAGCTCACAAATCAGTGTGCTCCAGATCAGGGTGCTCCACTTACTCATGCTTCTGCACCCACCGTGCACAGCAGTACGTGAGCAATGCTGTCGTTTCTATGATACTCGGTGCTGGGCAGTGCAGAACTGGGCTGTCACATTTCAATGGCGCTCTAGCAGAGCTCCAGGCCTGCCTTGGAAGATGAAGGGTAGCTTGTCATTGATGACGTGAATGTTTCGGTGCCTCCAAGACTACAGGACTTCCCTCCTCCTGCTCCTCCTCTCCCCTTGCAATCAGCAATCTGTACAACTTCCCCTACAAAATCTCTCTCTTTGAAACCTTGTATAACTTGGCCTGCAATTCTCCTAAAAGTACAGCTTGGGTTTTGTAACGAGCCACTTCTTTCCCTCTGAACATTTCACCAGTGAAAGCCTTAATTAGCATTCCTCCCTTTCTCTGTCCATCTTGCCCTCCTTAGGCCATGTGTGTCTATCCCAGTCCTTACATTTCTTTCACATCGGCATTAAGAGATACAAACACAAAGTCTATGATTTATATGTCTTCAGGGAAAAATCTATCGCAGAGCTGTGTCCTGCATACAATACAATCAGCGTGTTATAAGCACGAGTGTACAAAGCGATGAACAGGGCTGGGAACACAAGGGATCTCAGTCCCTATATCTTGAAAGTCTACTATAAAGTTACCAGCTTACTCCTTGCAGCAGCTAGCAAGAACATGGATAAGCGCCCCCTGCATGCTACAGATTACACATGAGCCCATCGCTCCCCAGTGGCTTCCATCACAACCACATCATTCTTACCTTGCAGGCTTGCAACTGGGGGACAAGGGATCTGGGGTATTATCACCAGGCTAGGACTGTTGCTTCACTGTCCAAGATCATCACCTGGCATACTAGTAAGTGCACACTGCCAAAGGGTTTGCATAATCAAGGTCTTTCCAGATTCTAGTTTCCTGAGCTATGGACAATGTGCTACCACTAAGGCTAAGGAGAAGCACAAAAGCAAATCTCCACACATTGGTGTTGTAAGCAGGACTCTGCCTTACTGTGGCTGCCGGACAGGTAGGACACTTCTCCATATCCCTTAGTAGTCCAAGGATGTTGCTGTCAGGTGTAACTAGCTACATCTGTTCCCAAGTAATAGAAGGAGAAGCTTATACTGCAATTTATTGATCCAAATGTTGCATTTCCCCTCCAACACACACAAACATACATAAAGTCCCCATCTCACCTGAATGCAGTTTATGATGAACTTGTGTCCTCGGAAGATCTTCTGCAGGACACCCGTCTTGGAATTGAAAGCGCGGGCACAGGCATCGCCACTTCCTGTAAACACTGTAACAGAGACAGGCAGCAAGGCCATTTTAGGACAAAGAGGCAGGTAGCTGTTGTAGTCTGAAGTCAGGTGTAAGGTAGAGTAGATTTCCACCGTATGGACTGACTAAATCGAAGGTAGATAAGCTTTTGTAGGCAGCAGCTTGCTTCTTCAGATGCTAAGAAGGGGCTGTCATTTTAGGCTAGTCATTTTTGTGCAATCAGAAAAGGTCAGTTCAGAACAGATTTAAGTACACACCTGGAAAACAGCGGGAGGAGAAAGACGGGATGGATTCTCCCCTTCCTAACGTCAGATGTTTCTACCAGTGTAACATCACTATTTCTTATTTATAACCATGTACATGAGAGGAAAATCAAGTCTTATTGAAACTATTGAACACACTTGTCTCTGGAAGTGGGAATGGAGGAAGTTACAGGACACAAAACGGTGTCCTAAAATCCTGTTTTAGTAACACTGGTCCTTTCCTGTAGGAGAGGAGTCCAGAAGAGCCTGCCCATCTTCCATCCAGCTGGTAAATTTACCCTTATGGCATACTCCACCCTGAATCATACCCTCCATGAAACAGAAGCAGGAGCAGGTTGATCAATGGTTGGGTGGGATATCAGCTGGACAAACTTACACTAGTCAACCATCATATGCCACTCAAGCAGGTACAGTATTACAGAACAAGATACAAGGCTTCTTTCTAGTAAATGGAAATCATATTGCTTTATTTGCTACTATTAACTGAACTCCCAAATACACACTTAACACAAAAACCAGTAGTAACTCAGTAAAAAAAGAAAAGTGCTTTCAGTTTATAGCTTTCATTATATTTTAATTCTCTCTCTCAGAATTTGGCTTTGACAAATATCCCTCTATCATTCAGGATTTATGTTTCTTTGAACTCCTGAACCACTGAGCTTCAGAAGGGGCACTCTTGGCCTGAACTTCATTTGACATTTTGATTCTGTATAAATAAATCTGTACTCCACCTACCTGCAAAACCAACAGGAAAAGCAACAAAAATGTTTTGCTTAAACTCCAAGGGAAGCAACTGTTCTTAAACTTGATGCTGAAGCCTTTGACATGTAGGAGAGCGAGAACTAATTTAATTTTCACTGCCCACGCTCAGAAACGTCAGAGACAATCAAGCAGCATAAACACTGAAAGATAAACTACACTGAAGAGCTTGTCTTTATAATCTACAGTGTTATTAGTTTAAAAAGTAGAGTGAGGAAGGCAGTTTAGTACTTATGACACTGCAAAGACATTTAGGAGCCCTGGACTCAGCTCTGTCATGGATTACCCTATGTGATCTTGGGCAGCTGTAAAAGAAACCATCCCTTTTTCCCCCTCTATGGTCTTTAACTTGTCTATTACAGCTGTAAACTCTTTGGGGCAGTGTGTGTCTGATTAAAAAGATTAAATATTGATTTGGTAATAGTTGAACAATGCCTAGCGTTCTTCCATGTCCACCTGCATTCTGCTTCTCAAAACAGGACACTTCAGCACTTCCAGTTTGACACCTTTTGGCTTTTAATAACCTTGTGAACACCTTAGTCACACTAACGAGATGTTCCTCCCAAGCTGGCTAAATGTAGCAATGTCGTTTGCACAGTCACAGGAAGAGTGTGGAGTGCTACCGAAACAGAGAAGGGGTGAAAGGAGAGAGTGCCAAGTGTGCAAAAACCTTGTGACGCTTGGGTAGCATCACAGGATGGGCGTCTGAGTTTGCACTCTGTTCCAAGGGCTTCAAATAAGGCGGTTGCTGGCCAATTTACTTTCTGGGTTAAAGAGAAAGAGCAGTTTTCAGACTGGAGTCTCTCACGTGATCTCATTAAGGTGAGTTTTGCCCTCTCCACCTCCCACTGACGATACCATAGACCAGTAGTGTATCTAGGCCAGTATAATACCTCCAGGCTTGATTACATTGAGCTTAGTTACATTGAATACGTCCAAAAAAAAAAGTGTCAGCCCTGATTTATGAAGTCAGCTTTGCTGGCTGAAGGCTGATCATAATCACTCAGTCAGTGTGTGTCAAGCATCCTGGTAGCTAATCATTGTTTGACCATTATCGGCACATGCTGAGTTCAAATTATTCTTTCCAATGTGCAGTATCTTGCATTTGCCACCAGCAGATTTCTCTGCCATCCTCACTTCCTTAAGCAACTCTTTTCATTAACATAATGGAGTTTAAAAAAACCCCAAAACATTGTTTTATCCAGTGCAGGGTTGTCCAACTGGTGGTCCCCATGGATTGAGCATGCTACCAAGCTGATGCTCCCCACACCCAGTGGCTCCTGCCCTGGGGGCCAGGATGGGGCTGGAGTGCCTGAAGAAGTAAAGAAGGGAGCTGGGCTGCCCGTCCTGCAAGCAGGTGGTGCATACTTGTGGAAGAGGAGGGGCAGGTGCTGCACACATGGCTGAGGCTGCCTGTGCTGCGGGGCAGGGGGGAGCTGCCCACATGGTGCACATGGTTGGGAGAAGGGAGTGGGGCTGGTTGCCTTGTGCATGTCATGGGAGGGGGGGGCACGAGGAAGGTGCTGGATAGCCTGCACTGCAGACGGCCAGGAGAACGGGGAGCCAGGATGCCCAGGCTGTGCAAGCGGCAGGGGAGTGCTGGACAGTTCATGGCCGGGGAGGTGCCTACCTGCCCACACAGCATGTGGCCTTCGATCTGTAGCCCCTATAGCCTGGGTCTGTGATCCCCGGCTGTCCAGAAGCTGGACAGCCCTGAACTAGTATTTAGTCAAGGTCATCTTTACTTCTTTCCCCAAACTGGAGGAAGGGCATCACATGCCAGAAAGCTTGTTTAACATCTCTCCCAACTATTCCAGTGGTCTAATAAAAGGTATTACCAAAAAAACAAAAAGAAAAAAAGAAAACAAACTCTAACTTGCTCCTGTCCAAGAAGCCAATCCAATTGGCTCAGCATGATTTATTCTGAATAAATCCAGGTTGTCTACTAGTAATCCCCCCTTCTTCCTCCAGATGTTGATTGTTCTATAATTTGCTGCAGTAGTCAGGCTGAATGGTGTGTTATTTCTCCATCTTCCTTCCCCCCCGCCCTTCCTTTTTTTTTCTTTTTTTTTTAAAGAAAAGGAGAGATGGGCATAATGGTATCTCTTCTCCTGGCTCTGGGACATCACTGTGTCATCCATGACTTGGCATGTGTGGCTCTGAGACATGTTTCAGCTACTTCTTTCTGCACCTGGAGTCACTTTCTTCAGGTCCTGTTGACTTCAACTCATTCATATTTGTCAAAAATTCTCTGAAATTAAGTGCAGTCCTTCCCCATCTTCCCTCATATTCATTTCACATCTTGTCTGGACAGTTTGTTTTGTTGGCATTGAGCTGTTCTGCCTTCCTTGTACTTTCCATTACTAGTTTACCATCTCTGTAGAGCAAGGGACCCACAGTTTCCCAGCTCTTTCCTTTCCCTCTGACATCTACAATGCTACAATTCTTTTCCCTCTACTCTTCTGAATATCAGCATTTTCTGCAGTCATAATTTGCTGCCAAGCACTGAAGTAGAAGGAAAAGTAAGTGAAAATTTCACAAGCTCTTGCATCTCATAAATATGGTGTTATTAACCTTTGCTCAGAGGTAAGCATCCATACATAGAAGGGAAAGTGAAATTGGAGGGGGAGGAAGGATTGAGGAACTAATGGAAAAGCAACTTACAGATCCCAGCATGGTATTTCAAAGTGCTAACGCTGTGTTTGTGAGCCTTGTACGTTTGGATTCGCTCCCCAGTGTCTACTAACCAGCACTTCACTGTCCGGTCCGCACTCCCCGAATACAAGTGCCGATTCACTAGCTGAAGAGGAAAAAAAAGGAAAGCATCAGCAATATCCTCCTTGGGCAAGTTCACCAGAGAACTGCACCAAAGCAATTCATCTTCATCAGTGACCTGAAAGATGGGATGGGGTGCACCCTCAGCAAGTTTGCAGATTGGAGCGGGGAGGGAGGAGGAGGAGGAGATACACTGGAGGGTAGGGCTAGGAATCAGAGAGACCTCAACAAACCGGAGGATTGGACCAAATGAAGTCTCATGAAGTTCAACAAGGACAAGTGCAAAGTCCTGTGCTTAGGACAGAACAAGCCCATGCACCAGTACAGGCTGGGGGCTGACTGGCTGGGCAGCAGCTCTGCAGAAAAGGACCTGGGGGTTACAGTGCACAATAAATAAGCTGGATTTGGGCCACCAGTGTGCTCTTGTAAAGAAGGCTAACGGCATACTGGGCTGCACTGGTAGGAGTGCTGTCAGCAGATCGAGGGAAGTGATTATTCCCCTCTATTCTGCCCTGGTGAGGCCACATCTGGAGTACTGTGTCCAGTTTGGGTCCCCCACTACAGCAAGGATGTGGACAAATTGGAGAGTCCAACGGGGGGCAACAAAAATGGGGAGAGGACTGGGGGACATGACTGATGAGGAGAGGCTGAGGGAGCTGGGCTTATTTAGTCCAGAGAGGAGGAGACAGAGGGGATTTAATAGCAGCCTTCAGCTACCTGAAATGGGGTTCAAAAGAGGATGGAGCTGGGCTGTTCTCAGCGGTGACAGATGACACAACAAGGAGCAATGGGCTCAAGCTGCAGCAAGGGAAGTTTAGGTTGGATATTACAATAGGGGCAGGCAAAGTCCGGCCCTCAAGCCAGATTGGGCCCACGGCAGACTCCATTCCCCAGCAGCTCTTGCCCATGTCACTGCAGCCAGTTTCCATGGAGACCCCAGAAACAGCAGGGATGTGGCAGCATGGGGCCAGGGTTTCCACGGAGACCGGCCCCAGCAGCACTGGCAGGGCACGCAGCTGGGTGGGGTGCTGCTCTGGCACTGGGATCTTGCTGTGGTGACAGGGGGGTCTGGAGCTGGGGCAGAGCTGCAATCAATGCCCACATGCCCCAGCTGGCTGCAGCAACGAAGGCAGGGGCTGCTGGGAAATGGAGTCTGGCTGCTGGCTGGACCCACCGTTTTGCCCACCCCTGCATTAGAAGAACTTTTTCACTAGGAGGGTGGTGAAACACTGGAACAGGTTACCCAGAGAAGAGGTGGACTCTCCATCCTTGGAGGTTTTTAAGACCCAGCTAGACAAATCCTTGGCTGGAATGATTTAGTTGGGGATGGTCCTGCTTTGAGCAGGGGGGTGGACTAGATGCGACCCCCTGAGGTCCCTTCCAACCCTCATTTTCTATGATTGTGTTCTTCATTCACATCTTCCAACAAAAAAATAACCGAGTAAAAACAATGAAGTCTACAGCTTTTAGACCTGGGGTAATGAGCAAAGCAATTCTCAGAGCTGAACTGTAGGGGCCCAATCTTGTATTCTTTGCACAGTCATATCACACAGTCAACTTCCAGGCCCTAAAATTGTTTCCAAACCTCAGAAGAGGAAGTTGGGTTCTCTGTTGATGTGTTGGCATGAATGGAGCTACTCCTATGCACAACAGCAGAGAATCCTAATTAGACTCTTTCTTTAGTGTAGGGCAGCTTCAATGTACAAGCAATACATATATTTTGCCAAATCATAAATTTTAATTTAAAAAAAATGTTAAAGAGCAGTTTTGAATAAATTAACAAAAGGTAAATAAACCCAAAAAAAGTCAATAGCTAATATAACACACGTGTTTAATATTTTGCAATATACTGCATTTTCTTTGTAACAGTTTGGGGTATGCTTAACTGTACATCTTTTACATCGTATGGTTCAATGATACAATCACATTTTTAAAAAGCTATTTTTAGATAGTATATTGCGTTTTCAAACATCTTCCATGAGTTAGCTTAGCAAAGGAATGATAGAAAACATTTAAATTGCTTTTGGCAATATAGTGGCATTGCCTACTGGCTCCAACTAACATAGTTATATTAGTCACTGTACATACTTACTCTGAGTTGTTCAAAGCAGGGATGATTTTCTACCAACTAGACCAATGATTCTCAGCCAGGGTCCCAGGGCACCCTGGGGTATTGCCAGATCCTTTGAAGGGTGTCATGAGGTGTAAGGAAATAACCAGAGACGCTAAGGAGATATGTCAGATTCAGGCTTGTCCCTGCCTGGGTAATGCCCCACCCCTACAGCCCCTCTGCAAAGAGGTAAGCACCATTTAATGCAACCCACATGAAAGGTAGCAGATATTTTTTACTGTAAAATGTGTTCTAGTTTTTCATGTTGCTAAGCATTAGTTTAAATATAATTATGTTTGGCTTTCTGTTTTGTGTTTTGTGGTGTTTTTTGTTTGAGGAAGGGGTTTTGTTTATATGGGTTGCATTAAATAGTGCCAAATTTAGTGATCCCAGATTTCTGGGTGGAGGTTTGAGCCATGGTGAAAACTTGTTGGCTACCCCAAAATTTGAACCCAGCTCTTGTTGTGGCTGACCAGTGCCTGGCAGGAGGGTTACATTAGTTTTTAAAATCAAGTGCCAGTCAATTCACAAAAAGTTACGGAGGGGGCCCTCAAGTCCAGAACACGTTGAGAACCACCAATCTACTCAGATGAGACAGAAGAGACACATGAGGGGGAGATAAGGGTTTATGAAATACGAAAAGGTGCCGAGAAAGTAAATAGGAACTTATTATTTTACTGCCACTCACAGTACAAGAGCTAGGGGTCATAAAATGAAACTAGTAGGTATTAGTTTAAAACTAACAAAAGGAAGTTGGGGGGGGAGGGTTCCCCAGACAGTGCGTAATTAAAAGGTGGAACTCCTTGCCACCAAATGTTGTGGCAGCTGACTGTTTAGCCAGGTTCAGAAAGGGATCAGATAAATTCTTAGAGGAAGGGGGCATCCGTAGCTACTGAGCATGGGAGTTCGGGGTACAGCCGCTGAGCCTAGACCTTAAATGCTGGAGGCTGCAATAGAGAGGAACAGTGGAAAAAACCCTGGTTATATCCTGTTTACTCTCCCTTTCAGCATCTGCTTTCTGCCCCCATGTGACCGAAGAAGCTGGGCAAGATGGTCCTATGGCCTGACCCAGTAAATAGCAGTTCTTATTTTCTTACGAGACAAAGGGTGGAGAAAGAAAGTGTTAATATCTTCATGGAAAATTGTGCCAGAGTAACTTCTACAATCTCCCACAGTCAGTCTGCACACAGCCCACGTTTCCCTGAGTGAGAGTCCAGGGCCTTAAGGCTATCTTTCTCATATGTAAAGGTCTCATAGTCCAAGTTCTTCTAACACACAAGATAAGGAAAATAAACCAAGAAAAAGCTTGAAACAGGCATCTTTAATACACAATGTAGATGCAAACTCTTCAGCCAAGGGTGACTGGCCAGACACTTATCTGTAAAGCACCTAGACCACAGCTGGCACTACATAGCGTAATTTTTTCTCTCGCCCCCCTTTCCCTTCTCGGTACCCCTCAATCAGGTGCCAAGGAAGTCACAGTTGCAAAAAGCAGGTTTTCATGGTCTGGTGTTAATCACCATGGGACCAATTTGAAAAGGAAAAGCAGATGGAGGCAGAAAGACATACAGACTTGCACAAGGACTAATGTCTTATTATTTCCCTCTCCAAACATGCAGGCTACATAGCTGAATCCCCCTGCCTGATCAAACTCCCATGGACGTCAATGAGACTCCTGCATCAACTGATTGCCAAACAGGGGTCCAGTTGGGTCAATGTGGGCTTCACTTTTAGACTAATTTTCTGTCCCTAAAAAACTAGCCTTTTCTTCACTTCCCACACGCACATGTGTGCACACACTGCTGTTCCCTTTTGCCTGCTGCTGGATTATGGACATAAAGCCAATGTATTTCATCTCCCAATTCTCTTTGGTGCTACAAATGAGCTTTGTAAAAAAGGGGCAGATGGCATACTTTTCATACAAGTGCTATGAGAACCTCTAATAAAAGGTACTGCAAGGGCAAACTGCTACAATAACAGGACCATGACAGAGCTGTATGAAAAATATACACAGATAGTCCAAAATGCACAGAAAATGCAGTTCTCACCAAATCCTGGAGCCGCACAGGTGCTACCAGCTGCAGACGTCACTTAGCCTATAAGACCTTTCCAGAAGATAACATCCATGTAAATACAGGTTATATACATGTAATTGCCACAGGCTAGTAGTTTGAAATGTCACGTCTCGCTACATTTGTGCTGTAGCCAAAATAGTACTAAGGAGGGAAGAAAGGAGCTGACTTGCTATGCAAACAAGTATTTAGAACTACACTAAATACATCTCTGAAACATGGAAGATGCCGAATTTTAGCCGACTTTGGAATTAAACTTCATTGCCGAACAACAAGGAAAGATTTCTACACCACCCTGGCTTTCTGTCTTCTGAGACCACCAGGGAAGGAATCCTGCCTTACCTGCACATCAGGAAGCAACTCACAAAGACACTCATGGACCCAGAGGAACAGACTTCCACCTTCAGCTTCCTCTGTGCAAAATGAAGTTTATTTTCTACCGACAGGGACTTTTTACCATCTTTAATTTTCCCCAAGCCTGAGGAAAGGCGCATGTGCCCAGAAGCTTGCAAAGAAAGATCCTTCTTTTGCAATTTCTTAGTCGGTTTAAGAAAAGGTATCACCTCTGAACCAGGAGTTCTAGAGTTTTGCACCTCTAACCCTAACATTCAACCCAAATGGGCGAGGGAAACATCATCACAAAGCGCATGCTAATACGAAGTTGGCTGGAGTTTCATCTTCCAGAATTGCTCCTGGCCCACTCATGGCATTTCTGTTCTGAACAGCTTGCAAGCAGCAGCAACCCACGCGACAAAGATAAACACTTTCCACTCGTCTCCTGCAGGTGAATGTCACTTGAGAACAATGGTGCGTTAAGTTAAGTTACGCTGCTTGAGCTCCATG